CCGATATTCTGCTCTCTCTGTGGGGTTTGTATATTTTAACATTTAAAATTTTTAAAATTTTTAATAATGTTTTCATTTTAATAATCACTTTTTATCTTTTTACAATGATTGTTTTTATCCATTTTTTATTTTATTTAAGTGTACACTACTCAGAGTTGCTTTGTGGGAGATGGGTGGCTATATAAGTGTGACATAAATAAATAAATTAAAATTAAAATTCATATACCTTATCTCAGGCATTTAAATTACTGTAATGTACTGTATTGTAATCAGTTTGGTTTGCCTATTATTATTACCCCATATTGCTGAAGATTTTTTAAAAAATTAAATAAAAGATTTTTTTATTTAATGGGATGAGCGACTTCTACTGTGGAGCGTATGTGCTTTTACATGCTTGCACAGATTCTCACATATTTATATTTCCACTGGTGCAGGGCAGATACCAAGGCTTTAAATTAGGAGTAATTTAATAGCATAATCTATGATGCCTATTGCCCTAAGCATGTGGTTCTATATACTCATTTTAGTGCATGTGGAAACATAATTTTCTAAGTGCTATTTCTGCCCATCTGTGCCATTTGAGTGATGAAAATAAGCTATTCTAGTGCTGAAATTTCAGCTATTTTCTTTTGTAAATTTCACTATCTTCTTGGCACCTACAGGAGGGTGTTTTAAATAATACTAATTGCAGATTTTTTTTGTTGCTGTTAGAATTACAGCTGAAGAAGTAACAAGTTAAACATCTTCTCCCATGCATTGCAGATTTTGCACGCATGCACGCGCACACACACATAGACACATTTCTATCTGTCACTCTATCTCTCTCTCTCACACACACCAGGTGCTATTTTTTAAAAAGGTGACATGCCTCAAGGTGATTACTTTACATCTCATCTATTTTGGCCTTTTATCTCCATGCCTATAGTCATTTGCTACCAAAGTACTTCAGGCAGCTGTCATGTAGGAATTAGAGTAAAGCTACCAGATTTTTTATAGTGGTTTTTTTTCTGTTTTTTTCTTTATTTTTGTATATTTTTTAAACTTAGATTGCAGAACTGAGAATGACCACTTGATTGCAAGAAAAAAAAAAAAAAGGTACAGAAAATCCTAACTCTGCTGCTATCAGATTTTTGTAACCCAGTTTGGTAGCCTTAAATTAATGTTTCAGCCACCTCCCTTCTACCCCCCTTTTTAAATTAAAAATGCATACTAATATAGCACTTGGATGTCAACTTTCTAAAATCATGATGGAGCTTTACTTAAAATTGAACACATATTTTAAAACCATTTTTCTTGAGTCACAACTGGAAATGAAAAACTTCACCAGCAGGCTAATAGGGAAACTACATAATAGAGTGAGGATATTTCAAAACACAGCTACCTGCTGCGTGTCTAAAACTGCTGAACATAAAGAAGTTATACAGAATATGAAATATTCAGTGTTTAGCTACCAATAAATTCCTATATGTAGTACTGAAAAGAAATTCATACAAATGAATATTTCATTCATATCAACTCTCTCCTGTTTTTTGCACATCCCACATGTGTTCATTTTACTATGTGCCAAGACTTACATTGCATGCTTTTGTAACTCAGTGAAACTTATAATGCTCTGACTATTGATACATTCATTATCTGCATATACAACTCCCAAGTTCTGTCTCTTTAATTTTTCTATGAGCCCAACGACAATGTACATATTTTCAGTGAGAATTCAATGCTGTCCAGATGTTCTGAACTACAACTCCCACGTGGACTTGTCATTGTCCGCGCTTGCTGAGGTCGAGGGAAGTTGAAATCCAAAACATTACATATAAGTGCTCTGTACTACAGTGTAACATCAGAAAGATGTCGTCTTATCTGGAGGGCTGGAATGTTTTGCTATATTATATTGCTGTATAACAATCTGTAATATAACAGCTTCTCCAACTCCAGATGGTATGGTGAAAAACTTCAGTTAAGGGAGTACGGCTACATATTTTAAGAATATAGGGGTGAGAGCAGCTCCTGCATAAATATTAATGAGAAAAAGCAAGGGAAAGTCAAAGTTGATGATGATCATCACCGAGTTTTAAATGGAAGAAAGACAAAACTTGTTAAATTTTAGGCAGAAAAGTATACAGCATCAATGATACTCTAGTTCCCTTTGTTAGATGAAATGTATGAAAATTTAATAAAACACAAAAGAGGAAGAAAGAGCATCAGTATAATTTATAGATGTAATGTGCAGTGTTTGGTCAAACTATTTTGTATGCAGTTGGGACATTTAATTTTTTAGAATAATTATAAAGACCATCTTCAAAGCATTTTGAATCTCTAGAAATGTGTTGTAATCCCTGTAAGTATATATTAACAATTATCTTCCCACTGGAAGCAATCCCCCAAATGAATAAATGAGTAACTATAGCTAGCTTTTAAATATCTGACATTGGGATAAGGGCCTCCATGATTTCTGGTTGGGGATGAATTATAATGCTCCTTAATTTACAAATTACATTTTCTGACAGGTTACAAAACTTCTCTTCCTCAATTAATTAACTGCTAGGTTTTGTACAATGTTGTTCTTCTGTGAGGAAAGTCGAATATCCTTAAACTGTGCATACTGATTAATATACTTTTTTTTCTAGGCATTTCTAACAGCAATAGGAGACAAAAATCGTAGGACTGTCCTTGCATTAGAGCACATGTTTGCACCTGTGTTGGATGGAGCTGTGTCTACACTACTTGGTGTATTAATGCTTGCAGGATCTGAATTTGACTTTATTGTCAGGTAGAGCTTGCCTCTTTTCCTCTTTTCCTTTTGCTTTAGGAGAACAAAATGAATGCAGTAGAACCTCATTTATTTGATTACTCTAATGTGCCTATGATTGAATAGTAAGAAATCTGGATAAGAGAAGCAATATTCTGTTGGATTGCATGACTGTGTTACACCACTGAAAAGCAATTATATCCACATCCGTCCATGAAATAAAATCCAAACTACATGGCTGGACACAAAAGATTGTGCAAACTTTCAAGTTCTCCAGAACTCTTCTTCAAGCAAGGTGATATAAAAAGAAGGGGGAAAGAAGAAGCAAAAAGCGCAACAATTAGCCATAAAGTGTACAGTACACTTTTTTCTTCCCTATACTTTGTTTTGTTTTATAACATCTTGCCTGATAAAGAGTTCAGCAGAATTGCCTGCCCCACTTTTTGTATGATTTTGGTTTATTATAATAAAGACATTGTCCAACTATGGATTTTAGATGACGCTGTTAGCACAACTTGCTTTGTGACTGTTGATCGCTCTTTTGTCTTCCTATCTTGTTTAAGGGGGGAAACAGGTTTCTCTTGTTTCTGTATTTCTAAACAAGGAGGGCCAATGATTATTTGCTCCCTTTTTTCCCAGCAAGCTTTGGGAGGTCTCAATATGGGTTTGGGTTTGTAATATTGAACTGGATTAAGGGATACACACACAAAGAAAGGGAGAGAGAGAGATGCAGCCCCCTAATGGGTGTGGGTTATCAAAATTCCTGATTTATTTATTTTTTTTGGTGGAAGTACTATTGCCTATTTCTGTTTTAGAAAGTTTGACCTTTCTGCTTACCTGCTGTTGTAATAATGTAACATGCCTGCTTATCTTGTGGCTCCACTTTTACTGTGCTACTAGTTACTTTAATGACTTTTTCCATTGAAGGCACTGAGAAAAGCTCAGAAAGGCTCTTTGACAGCCAAGACTTTTGTTTAATAACAATATTAAGTTAGTTTCAAAGACTAGGTATTGCCAGTGGTTAACTAGAGATGACCTTTCACCAAAACACTGTTTAAAACAATTTATATAGAGAATAATTTTGAGTGGAAAAGCCTATAAAACTATAAGCACCCTGGAACCTTCTCTCCCCCTTCTTCTTTTTCCTAACTGAAGGTTATGGAAAAGTTTTCATGACCAAAAAAGAAAAAAAAAATCTAGAAATGATTGTAAGTCAGCAGGGCTACAGGATGTCCTGTAAAATCCATAAAGCTGTCTATTGGCCTTTCTGTTGGAACCTAAAGGGAGCTGGTGGATTTAATTAAGGATATTAATTTCTCAGATAAAAAGAATCCAACTAATTCTTGCTTTAGGAGAACTCTTGGGAGGGATGCTGGAAATGGATCCTGTCTGCCTCCTAACTATTTCTGCAGAGTTTTTCAGCAGAAAAGCAACACCAACTTCTAGGCATAGCATTGCAAACAAATCAAAATAAAGAATAAGGTAAATGGATATTATGAGAACAACCCTTTGTTAGCATAAGATTGCTAAACATAATCAGTGTAAAAATCAAAACAAAAGAACACCACAGAAACTTTAATCTCTCAAAACTTTTGAAATCATACCCCTCTTGTATCTCCAAACTACAAGCTAGTTTACACCTAGCTTCCCTTCAGTTTCCCTCTTACCCCCTCCCCTTGTTTGGTTCCTCAATACATTCCTGCATCACTTCTCTCCTCAGTGTTTACATAAGGTTTTCCAGATACAATTTCAGCATGAAGTAATTAGGCATTGGGTACTCAGCCTCAGCATTTGGGCAACTCTGAGCCTTAGCTGTGTTTACAGGATTGCAACCACACATAGATAAGCACAGATTGTTAAGTGGGTGATATATACTGGGTAGAAGAGGATAGCAGGGCAGAATAGTAAGTGGTGGGAAGATGTTGGAGAGCAGTTGGACTGTACCACGCAGCTTGCCTTTCCCTGCCTGCCTCCCAGTTGCTAGTCTGCTTCCTTGATTGCTGTAAGAGATGCTTTTCCATCTTACCTGCTGGAGTAAATATTAATCACCTGTCTAAAGCTTCTGTTCATAGAAGACAGGGAGGGGTATTGCCATCTTATTCTTTACTTCAGGCAAGAAATGACTAGTGATGTGCAATCTTCATTTGTCCCAGTGGGGCTTCTGTTCACATTTTATTGTGAGAATAGAACACTGCATGGTGCTAGTGTTATGTAGATTGTAACTACTGCCCCTTAGGTCCCTACCCTTGCAAGCTGGAAATATTTTTAGTGCCTTAAAACTGAGCTTAGCTTTCTCATTTTCTAGCACAATCTGGGCTTAGTTTGTCTTTTCTCTCTTTCTCTTGAAGATGGATTGAAAGTAAATAAGCAAAGCTTGGGCATTGTTTCAAGAGCTGAGAAAGGCTGCAATCTTCTGGCAAGGAGTAGATTTTAAACTCAACAGCACATCTGGGTAGAAGTTTTATACGCTCAGTGGTCAGATCTGTAATCAGCCTGTTTATCCTAGAGTTAGACTGATGAGATGCAATTGACTCCAGGAACCCTTGTTGATGGTGTTTTCTAGTATGAAGCCATGTTCGTTTACATTAGTGTAGGAAATTAGTTGCTTATTTCCCCCTCCCTTTTCCACTAATGCAGACCAGAAATTTCCAGATGTAATCCCACCATAACAGATGATAGCTGTAGCTTTTTCTTGTTTAAACTGCATAGTGAGCAGAACCATTGGCAAAAGGGTTGCCCCTATCTCCCCCTTCTGCCCCTTTCACCTTCAAACTGTTGCCTAAGATCTGGACCATTAGTTATAAAATGCATCTTTGAGTTTAGCCTGTCTCTCCCTGCTCTCTCTCTCCCTCCCTCCCTCCCTATCCCATCCCTACTTTCCCCCATGCTGGATATTTTCTAGTCCGGCTTTCCTCTTGGCTGGCAGGTTTACCATGTTATTCATGAAGGATACCAGACCTTAGCCCTCAATGGTGGGAAAGGACAAGCACTTGTGCACTCTTCTCTTCTTCCATAGTCCTTCAGCCTTTATGTTCGAATTGGGTGACACAAAACAAGAGCGTTCAGAGATGCTAAATTGTTCAACAAAAGATTAGCCTGCAATGCAGCTTGGCTATTGTAGAGGGCTCTTATGCAATACAATGCTCTGGCTTACCACAGAATGGCTTGCATTTTCTTTGCAAAAGCGGGTTCCTGTGTTTAAAAAGGTTGCAATTTGAGCTATTTGGTAAAAGTGGAGCTCACAGAATTCAAGGGGGAAAGTTATGATTAATGAATGGCAAGGGAAAGCCTTACCTGATACACTAGAGATTTAATTAGAGATTCTGCTGTTAGATGCAGGAGCATTTCACACTGGATTAGTTGCTGGGAGAAGTGGACTTCTTTCTCCTTCTAGGCTAAATTGTTTAAATTCTACACCCTTCACTTCATTTGTTTGCTTCTGCTGGATTTTCGCTAATGGGGGGCCCCTTTCATTGTATTTGTGCTTTCAATCCGTTCAGTCATTCAGTTTGCATTCCATATTTTTGTGTTTGTGTAACACGTTCATAAATAACATTACATGCTGCAAGATTCTGGCAAATTAACAAACTTTTTTTTTCTTTCCTTTTTTGAACTAACACTTTGGTTGTGGAATGTAGACTCTCTAATCCAAAAGGTAAAAAAACAAAAAACAAAAAACAAAATTGCATGCTGAGTTTATTCATTAAATAGAAAAAAAAAAGAATGTTATATTGGCATGCTTGCTTGAATATTTAATGAAAGTATATTGCCTATATTGTTTTCTGTGTTTAGTATTGAACACACTTTCTGATTCTAACTTTTTATATCTTAAAATATTTCAGGTATTTCTTTGCTGTTTTGGCAATTTTAACAATCTTAGGTGCTTTGAATGGATTGGTGCTGCTTCCTGTTCTCCTTTCCTTATTTGGACCATATCCTGAGGTCAGTATTATACTCCTTAGAAATTGACCTACCCCCCAGGTTCTATTATAATGATACGTATTTTATGTTTGTACTGTTCTAAATTATGTTTCTTTGGCACTTTGATACATAATTCAGAATCCAAATCTTGATTTTACAGATCTAAGTTCTTTGATGTAGAAAAGTAGTTTTTGAAGTAGAACTTTGGTTGACAACTTGTTATTGGATATCAAAAGAGTTATTTTATAGGCCAGCTATTCTTATCTTCCCATTTGTGTGCTTATTTTCCAAAACAGAACACTGGAAAGTTTGCGGGGGGGGGGGGGCAGATAATACAAAATTTCTCAAAGCATAAAAATACCTCTATTATTGTATGTTTTCATTGGGAACTGCTGTGGAGTTCCTTCAGGGATCAGAAAATGCTCCAGTTATGTAGTGTGAAATCCTCAGGTGTACACCAACCATTATGTTTTATAGAAGAGAAGTCCTTTGTACATCATAGCTAATGCCCCCAATTATTGCTGTTAAGCAGGATTGACTTCATTCCAATATTTGGAGCTACCTCTTAGGTACCTCTGTTGCTGCCATCTTCACTTCTTTTCCTTTATCCTGAATTTTTTTTTTTTTGGCGGGGGGGCAGAAGGCAGGAGAAGCATAGATGGTGACATTAAAGTTTGGTTGGTTGCAGGCCTAGGGGACAGCTGTTGGAATACCAGCATCCTTGCTTGGAAAATAATGTACTGCATACAATTTTCATAGAGAAGATATTTCAGATAGCATTCTTCTAAGCACAAATTGTATACGTAAACCAAGTATTTGAAACAACAGACTTTTTAAAAAGCAGGTACTCATGGAACAATCATCATTCTAATTCTAATAATTCTAATCATCATTTTTACATCTTCTAATAACCATTTTGGTACTGTTTTGTCTCATTCCCATTCATCCATTTGTGACACTAGCAGAACAACTTTTTCTCTCAAATCACATTCTTTCAGAATATTCAGAATGTCCCCACAATTTGTCTTCAGTTGTCTCATTATTACCATTCATTGGAATGTTACGATGAAGATCCCCAATCTATGAATTCCTTTTTTCATACACATCCACAATCATCTACATGGTAGCAATTCATACATTTCGACATATATTTTAACCCTTTTATCATAACTGAACCTACACTTTCACTGTCATACATGTATTCATCAACTCCACTCTAAAAGATAAGACGTCCTTCATTCAGATTTATTATGCCCCCCTTTTCTTTGTTTCACAGACCACAACCTACTTCCTTCCTTCCTTTCCATCTCTTTCTTTCCTTTCCCTCCTTTACTCCTTTTACCTTTCAAGACACAATCTTCCACATGCCAGATGGACCCAGACATACTTACTTTCACTGCCTATTATGGTTTGTCAGTTGAAGCTTTTTACATAGTGCATCATCCCCTACTAAAGGTAAGGACAGTTTGGGTCAGTTCTGGCAAATTTTGACCAGAATGCCACAAGTGCAATCAATAGCCAGTTTTACCCCAAACATACTAAACTATTAACTTAGGATCCTAAACTGCTGACTACCTTCCAAGTCAGCATACTGTTGGTATCCTACCAGCTAGGAGGTACATGCAGTATATTGACAGACTGCAAAAATTAGTGAATGATATAAAGGTGAGGTAGAAACTTTTTGGACATGGGAGAAAAGGAAAGAAGGGAAACAAGAGTGAATATAGAAAAATTGCAGGAAGAGAGAGAACAAGTCCTGTATGAACAAAATATTAGAAGATATATCAGTTGATCTTCCAGTTGAATTAATGGAAGGTGAATGTAAGGACAGATGATGTGGAAGATGCTTCAGTGAAAATAATTATGCTGTGAATATCACAGAAGTGTGTGGAGTAACACTAATGGGAGGTATGAAAAAGGTGTTTGGGAGAATGAAGAAATAGATGAGAAAAAATGCATATAAGAGAATAATTGCTACAAAATATGAGGATGAGAGAAAGATACTGTATACTATGTAGATAAAAAAAAGCTGCATAGGACTGTAATCCAAGAGGCCAAGGAATAGTTACTACGAAGAGGTGTACGTGTGTGAAATCTTCTTGATGATGTGGTTCATTACAGAAAAGAAGGGTAGCAAAAGTAAATACAAAAATTATAGTGGGATCAGATTAGTAAGTGTGCCTTGAAAGTTGCTTGGCTGAGTTCTGGTTGAAAGGGTATGAGAGGTGACAATGAATTTTGGGAAGTGCAGTGCAGCTTTATGTTGAGCAGCAGGTATGCCAACCAGAATTTTGCTCTTCAGCAAGTTACTGAACAGTTTGTCAGTGTGAGAAAGAAAGCTTATTGTACGTTGGTATACATAAAGTTTATTGGCTTGAAGTATTTTGCAAGAATATAGAATTGAAGATTAGTTGCTGAAGGCAACCAATGATGGAAGAAAAACACATGTAAAAAGAAATAGAATGCTTAGTGAATGGTTCAGTTCAGATCAGGGAGTAAACCAAGGATATGTGATGTTTACTTGGTTGATTGTGGATGTATGGGTAAATACATTTATAAATACATTTATGGATAAATGTATAAGGAATTATTATCGTGAATTCAGAAGTATGTTGGTTAGAAACATGACTGTATATGCCATATTATTGGCTGAGAACATGAATGATCTGTAGTGATTGTTAGATTGTATGATGCAACAAGAAGTAGAAATTTAAACACTGATGTATCAAAGACTAAGGTAATTGTGTTAATTGGGCAAATGGAGTGAATGACAGAAAGTTATACAGAAATGGCAAAGGATTTGAGCAAACAGAATAATTTGTGTCCCTTGATAGAATGTTTACTAAAGATAGGAAATGGAAGATGTTTTAAGAGGTCCAAATGCTGATAGAAAGGGTGCAGGTCTGTGATGTAATGAGGAATGAATGCTTATCAAAAGAAAAAAAAACCCACTGTGTATAAGCAATTGTTTCTGTCCATTTTGTTATACAGAAGTAAGTGTGGTATGTGTCAAGAGAATTATAAAAAATGCTTATCAAAAGAAAAAAAAACCCACTGTGTATAAGCAATTGTTTCTGTCCATTTTGTTATACAGAAGTAAGTGTGGTATGTGTCAAGAGAATTATAAAAGGAAGTTGAATGCAATGGGAATGAAGTACATAAGAACTCTGTGTGGTAAAACAAGAAGAGGGTAGGGCAAGAAAGAATGGATCTGAGTGAATGTGGATTGTGTACAGAAGTGAGTGACCAGTGTGGAAGAATCTCTTTCTTTCTTAACTTTTTTTAAAAAGCTGTGTTGTACATGACTGTCTCCTCATTGTTCAAATGACAAAAAATATGAATGCTAAATTAAGTATACTGTATGGGCATTTATATATGAGAGAAGGCAGTCCTTTGTGCACCATGATCCTAAGACATTTAGGACTTTAAAGACAGGAACCAGCCATTTGAAATAGAAATGTAAGCACTAGTCATCCATCTCTGACCAAAAATTTGACAGTTGCATTTTGGAGCAGTGGAAGTTTGAGTATTTTTCAGATGCATGTTTTAGTCTGTATTAGCAACCCCTGTGTCATGTGCACTAACACAATTTAAATAACAATATGTCACATCTTGACATATTTCATGCTGTTGCACTGTTCATCAAGGATTATTAAGTGGAAAATGACACTGGGCTCAATTTGTCTGTAGTGCTTCAAAAGGATGATCGTAAGGTGTTTCTCCAAGCTTGAGAAATTGCCTGAGGCTTTTAATGGCATAGATCTACTAAGAGTTTTTAAAATGTTATCCTTAGGTTTCTCCAGCTGATGGAAGGAGCAGACTACCTACCCCTTCTTCTGAGCCTCCCCCAAGCATTGTGCGGTTTGCTGTTCCACCAGCTCATGGTCAAAATGGTTCAGATACATCTGATTCTGAGTACAGTTCTCAGACAACAGTATCAGGAATCAGTGAGGAACTACATCAGTATGAGGACTCCCAGAGAACTGGACCCCCAGTCCATCAAGTCATTGTTGAAGCCACTGAAAATCCAGTATTCGCCAAATCCACAGTAAGTAACTGAAATCCCGTTTTTGTATCTAATTTACTGTACCATTGATCCCACATTCTTATTATTAAAAATAATCCCAAATCAATTCATTTGGGGAAATAATATTTATAGTAGATTAAAATAGAAAACAATGACAGTTAAAAATACTAAATTATAACTCTTTGAACAAGGCTTATAGTTAGGTAATGCCTGTTTGGAAATTTCACATGGCCATGATTATACAGAAAACAGTAATTGTTTGTAAGTGAGGGAGATGATTAATGGTCAGGGCATGTATGCATAACCTCATCTCCAGAACACAACAAGAGGTAACAAAGTCTACTTTTATTTGTCCTTTAATTGTCCTTATTTCTGATTCTATTTATTAAAAAATTAATTGCAGTTATGAAAGAAAGTGAAGTGTTGGAATCAGTTCAGTGCTAAATGAATGTAGATAGATTTCATTTGTATAATTTTTTCTGATACAGAGATTTGAATAGGGAGATGGGTTGGCATAGCTCTGTTGAGATAATTTCTAAGTAAGAAATTGGGTTTTGCCAGGTTCTCTTTCATCAGCACTAAGTAGCCCTTGAATGTATGGAGACAGGAACAAAACAAAAAAAAAGAAAGAAATTCTAGCTGGATATAAGTTGACACGTGATGAATATTTATCAAAGTATTTTTCCAAACCATGTCCAATTCATATTTATTGTTGGACAAGCTAACCTAGGAGATAAAAAGGGATTCTTTTCTTCTCCATCGCTTCCAGTGCTGCTTCATGAAGAATAGCTAATTAGAGCCATAACAACAAGAAGTAGAGTCAGGGGCATCCATGGTGGTGATGGGGGAATCAACAGCATCAAAATAGCAGGCATGACTGGGCAATTGAAGGCCCGTCCTGTTTACATGAGGACAACTTATATTAAAAAGGGGCAAACGTTTGATTGCCTGGTTGCGCCAGGAATTTTGATATTGCTGACCTCACCTGTAGATGCCCCTGAGTAGAGGGTACACTTTTTGATCAAATGTGTTTGATTTAAAGGGATGCTGTACTCAATGTGTTTCACTAAAAATTCAAGGTTTTTATCAGTTATATGTGCCATCTCATTAATATTGTCTACTTGAACTGTATCTCTTGCCAAAAACCAAGAGTGTTTATGAAGCAGCATGAGAAAATGTTTCCATTCTACTTTCTTGCAAGAGGAGAAACTGTGGTTAAAGGGATTAATGAGAACACACCTGAATAAGGTTGTGGAAAGTGACTGTGTGAATGCACGCACTCTGTCTTGTTTTATTGTGGTGAGTCTTTGTTGCTGGTTATGAAGTAAAAGGGCTATAGAGCAACAACACATCTAAGCTTCCAAGTAACACTATCAGATTTGCTCTGGCAAAGTACATTTAATTGTGCAACAAAGGCTATTTCATGAAGCAGGTGTAGCCTTTTGGTTTCACAGTATTGTTTCAAGGTTTTCCTGCCTTTTTTTTCAGGTGATCCAACCAGAAACAAACAATTATCCATCCAGCCCAAAGCTGCAAACTAATCAAGAGCCTGGAATCCAGCAAACATGGCATAAAAGCAAGAAATCCAAAAGAGAGCCAAGGGAAGGACTTCAGCCACCCCCTTACCGGCCACGTAGAGATGCTTTTGAAACTTTTGCCAAAGGGCATTCCTGTCCTAGTAATAGGGATTGCTCTGGTCAGAGAGCTCGTTCTCAGAACATCAGAAATCCAGCCTTCACTGCCACAGGCTCTTCTGTGCCACCATGCTGCCAGCCTATCACTACTGTGACTGCCTCTGCTTCAGTTACTGTAGCTGTACATCCTGCTGGGCATAGCCACAGTCCTCATGGAGGAAGCTTTCCAGCCTATGAGAGGCACCATGAAACCGAGCATGGACAATTTGAGGATCCTCACGTGCCATTTAATGTCCGGTGTGAGAGGAGGAACTCTAAAGTAGAAATCATAGAATTGCAAGATGTTGAATGTGAAGAAAGAACTCATGGTGAGGGGTCAGATTAAGGTAAATCTTTCCATCCTCATTGGGTAGCATTGCCCACACCATCTGCTGGCATGCATAATTGCTTTAAGTGCACTTTCTAACCATCTCTTAGCATTCAAGCCTGCTGTAGCTTTAAGCAGTTCCTTATTGTATTAAGGGATTTCTGAAGTACAGGGAAACATGCAAGTGAGATGGGCGGCTATATAAATTCAATAAATACTTGACAGGGGCTTGAGTCTGGACTCAAATTCAAGGGCTCTAGTCTGTAGCAATATCTGTTTTCTGGGTTCACTTGATGGCAGCCTGGGTGGTTGTGGATTAAGAAGAAAAAAGCTTCTTGCCTTTACTGGTGATTAATTTAGCTAACCCAGTTTGCATATGTTTGAACATGCTGACAAATTAGTTCCAAGAAGAGAAACAAACCAATGCTTTCTGTTTCCCTTCTAATGCCATGCTGAAACATTGGAGGAGTGAGAGGAAATCTGTGAGCTTGAGACCTTAGGCATATAGTCCTGGCTCAGTGTTAGGTATAGGCGCAGCCTAAATCAGTTGTTCATTGGAGCCACTGATGGAACAATATGGAATATAGCATGACAGTATGGGAAAATTTGCCTTGCTGTGGAAAAAAAACCTACATTCTTTTAATAATGAAACAACTAAATGATAGAAGTGGTTAAATTGCTTTTCTTGGAGCTTTCTATGTCCATGTTAAAAGACTCAGAAAAAACCAGGTCATATACTGTATATAATGTGTGTGTGCGGTGCACGCACACACCCCATAGGTCTCATGGCTTTTAATTGCAGTCTTGTTGAATGGCTTAGGCTGAGATGATTTATTTATCTTTGCTGAACTTTAAGTGAACAGTGGGGCTCCTTTTTTGTCTCTATTTGTACAGGGAAATAACTGAAGCAAAGAAGAGGCCAAAGATGGGAGACCTCCTCTTTCCAAAAATGCTTGAAGAGAAACTGCTTTGAGTAAATGGAAAAGGACAGTACTGCACCAGGACAAATATTTCCCCTTACTGTAATCTATTGTAATATTTTGTTAATTATTTCTATAAATATTTAAAAGATGTACACATCTGTAATATACGAGAAACTGTGTAAAGTAGTATAATCTGGAGTTGTGTTAACTCCTGTTTAACAGAGTGGGGACTGTTGTTTGTACTCTGTACTTACTGTACGTTGATCTCTATGCCACAACTAAACTTAATCTAGTCATAAATTTCAGCATATGTTGCTGCTGCTTAAATATTGTATGATTTACATGTATAATTCTATGCAAATATTGCTAATGTATTAGGATTTTTTGTGTAAAGGTTCATTTATATATATGTGTGTATGAGAGAGTGTTAAACTATTTTAAAATTTCCATATCACAGCCCTGTGGTAGTATGAAATACTTCTGTTAACTTTCAAACACGCTATGCGTGATAATTTTTCCTTTTCTGTTTTTTCCTTAATGAGCAGATATGAAGAGCAGTGTGTTTAACAATGATGACTGAAGAAGGCATAGCTGTGTGGTTTGTGTACTGTAACTGTTTTGTGGAGAACAGATTATTGTGAACTTCTAACATATGCCCTGCTGAAATGAATGTAGTGCTGAAAGTATGTGACTTACCTATAATTCTCATTTGTAATTAATGGCTCACGTGCAAGAGATTTGGCCAGAAAATTACCTGCTATATAATTCTTTTTGCCTTTAATAACCTAAACTCTCATTTGTAATTAATGGCTCACGTGCAAGAGATTTGGCCAGAAAATTACCTGCTATATAATTCTTTTTGCCTTTAATAACCTACCGATGCTTGTACATGCTTCAGTTCCATTGGAATTAGTGCGAGTTTTCAGTAGTGCTGAAAGTATGTGACTTACCTATAACTCTCATTTGTAATTAATGGCTCACGTGCAAGAGATTTGGCCAGAAAATTACCTGCTATATAGTTCTTTTTGCCTTTAATAACCTACCGATACTTGCACGATGCTTCAGTTCCATTGGAATTAGTGCGAGTTTTCATTTTAACTCTCATTTGTAATTAATGGCTCACGTGCAAGAGATTTGGCCAGAAAATTACCTGCTATATAGTTCTTTTTGCCTTTAATAACCTACCGATACTTGCACGATGCTTCAGTTCCATTGGAATTAGTGCGAGTTTTCATTTTTGCATAAATGTATGTAAGGTTGCAACCAGTCAATAACAACAACAATGGAGCTTAGCAATTGTTAATGCCATCATCAAAAAATATTAAACCTAGGAGTGGAATGATTGGGAGCCAACATTTGTAGGTTCTAGGCTTGGCCATTCTGATGTCATCTATTTGGCTTTAGGCCAGTGTTGTCCAAACATGCTGGCTGGGGAATTCTGGGAGTTGAAGTCCACTCATCTTAAAGTGGCCAAGTTTGGACAACACTGCTTTAGGCAAACTACATAAACTGCCTCTGCTGATCTGTACAGTGGCTATATCTCCAGTGAGAATAAAATGGCCTCTTATCCTCACTGCATCGTCCCACCTACACAAAGCAGAACAAGAAAGCTAAATGCTAAAGGGCTTGGCATGCTTTAGAACTGCACTTCGATCATTATTACACAGATGGTCATGGCTGCAGTCTGCAACATGTAACACAATTGACATAGTCAATATTCTCTGTCCCCATCATTTTATGAAACCTTCAAGTTAGTCAAAGACCATTTCCATTCAGATTATCAGATCTGAAAAACATTCCTTTTAATGTTGTCTTCTCCAAGCTGATAACCGTGGTGTGTTGTACTATAATCTTTTAATCAGGAAGACACCAGGTTGAGAAATATAGTCTTAATACATCTAAAGTATTAATAATGTAGATGTTTAAATAATGAACAGTTTTTTAATAATGAAACTATAATGAAAAGTTTAATAATGAAAAGTTGCCATATTAGGCATAGCACTTCAGAAAATAACATGATTCATTTAACACTCATTTTTTTATGTCTCTCTCTCATTTCTCAGAGTGAAAGACTAACAAATATATATACTATAAAAGAAAGTGCAGTAAAATAGGAAGAAAAGCAAGTAAGCAAGGCAAAGCCTTAAAATGATACTGGAAGACATAAGATACACAAATTAGTAACACACACAATGTATTGCATATAAAACTACATGTGAACTTGAAGGTTTTCACCAAAATGCATTGGATGTTTTATTATTTCATTAAATTAAATGTCCTTCAAATTTTCAGTTTTAAATGTCCTTTCTGCATTTCAGAGAAAAATATTTGTTGTGACCTATGTAAGTATACAAGAAGCACAGAGTCAGTATGGCTTCCCTGCCACCTTTGTTAAGACTTTGCATCTTAGTTTGAAGTAGTAACAGAGGCTGAAAAAATATGAGGTTAATTTTCTCTGCTGGCTCCCGGTCTCGTTATAAAAAGAGGAATTCCTGCATTTCTTTCATGTGCTGCATGAGCTGCCCTTACAACAACAGCACATGCACCACTGATGGAATTCAACATGCAAACAGATCTTCTGAATATGATTTGGGTTAAAGTAGGGTTATACGCACAGTGGTGAAATACATTTGTGATAGTATTTGAAAGCAGTTTCTTGCTTAGCAAATACTCTTCAGAACATGCCCCACTGAATGAAAACTAATGCCTTTACACAATGCGTGCTAAATTTCCTGAGACTTCTGCTTATCCATTAGCATTCATCAGATATCTGATAAAAAGTTCTGGAGCCATTGATTTTACCAAATTGGCCAAGAGCAGCTCTGTCTAGAAAAAACATGTATTTAAGCATTTTTGCATCAACCAATGTGATGTCTAAATTCATCGTGACTTAGCTTTAGTAAAAAGCAGTGTCATGCAGACAAACCCTGGTGGCCCATATTGCGTGGACCTTCAGTGATTATTTCAACAATTTATCTCCCTATTTAGTCACTGAATAGACTTACGCCTCTCTCAGAGCCAGCTTTTGCCCACAGCTTCTCATTTCTCCCTGCTAGATATCCGTCACTGTAATGTGTTAACCAGTATGGCCCTTTCAGCTCCAACATTACTAATGAATTGAGGTAAGGCGGTTGTGTACATCTGCCTAATGTGAACTTTGTCAAGAGCAAGTGGTTATCTCATTGTTTCAGTGGTACGAAAGGCAGGAAATCGCATTCTGCAGGTCTGTTTTGCCCCAGAAGCATCTAAATACTCAAATCTTGGTAAAGTTAGATTATTAAAAAGAGAAAGAATGAAAACAATCCTGCAAAAGTTGATGCCAATTGTAAGCTATATTCTCTGTCAGGTACTGGTGCCTCAGAAGTCATGATAGTTGCTTAATTGCTTCCCATTATTTTTTAAGAAAAAGGGAGAAAGTGAGCAAGTACAAGAATCTGTGGTTTTCAGTAGTCCTCACCTTAACCTTCCTCAGTGTGTGTATGTGTGTGTCAGAGAGAGAGTGTTTTGCCTTTTTGTGGGATTGCCTGCTCCTTGGCGCATAGTATAGACCATTTTCTCTTCTTGTCACATTGGCAAAAGGAGATTTCAATGATCAGCTGTTCTATATTTTTAAATGATAAATTGTTGATATTTATATTTTTGTATCATAAGAATGTTTTCTTACAGTATTTGTCATGCCAGTTTATAATAAACAAAATGCAGGGATTTTATTTCTATTGGAAACACTATTACAGCTATGTTTTTACTTTTTTAAAAAATTTTATTTGTATAGAATGCTTACTAATGTTAAATAGGAAGAGAGTATATAACATTTTACATTAAGAACTCATTTTGTAGTTTTTTTTAGAGTGAGAAGTTGAAAGGAAAAAAATATTCAGACTGGGTCTCATTGCCTGTTTTTAGCAGGAATGGGTTTGTATTTCAGTTACAAAGATAAAAGTATGCCATATAATTTATTTATATGAAAATTTATTTTTGTAGTGTACATAGTAGTCCTCAATTCTTTTGACAGAATTATATTTTTAAAAGAGTTTATATGTGATAATGATACCATTATGTTTTGGAACATTGCTGAGACATAAAATACAATGCACACTTTTCATGATATTCCATTTACAAACAAAATCAAGGTCAACAGTATTAAAGAGAGTGCGGATATTATACTTCATGCTGAACTGTTTTAGGTTTACCATTCTGTGATGTAGTGTGGTTCTCAATTTTAAATCATAAATGAAAATTTGTACAAACTCTCTAAACATTAATGTTCAAACACTGATAGAAATTCTAACATGAATAAAAAATATTATAACTTATTGCTTACGTATTTTGTTGTTTGTGGAACATTTATTAAAAAGTGGGGGGCTTGCATCTTTTTGAGTCAGGAGGGCTAACTGAAACAATATTGTTGACAACCTTTTTAAATAATGATCTTCATTGTTTAACATGAAATGTTTATGGTGGGATTTTAAAGACCTGCATAGAGGCCATCTCAAAGTTGCAACAAATCTTTGGTGTGCAGCCACAGATCTATAATTCTGACAGATTGTGGACTGAGACTGCTTTACTGCCCAGACAATAAAGGGAGTTCTTCATTGAATTCTCAAGGACCAGATCTAATGGATTAGTAGTGTTAATCGGTTATAACAAGCAATAGTCTTGTGGTATCTTGAAGCAGGGGTGGGCAACCTTTCAGGACCAAAAACTAAACCTAACATTTCGAAGAGGCTAAGGACCACATCAAATGTGTGAGTAGAACAGGATTTGGCAGGTGGGGTTGCTCTGAAGATTTTGTTTGCTTTTTAACTATGAAATGCCTATATGATAGCTTAAATTAGTTTTTTCATGTGTTCCACATTTCAAAATAAGAAGCAATTATCCTGTCAGTTTTTAGCCACTCCAAAGGCTTCAAAAAGTGTTTCACTTGCTCACCCCTACCTTAAATACAGATATATGTGGGTATAGCCTTTCACTTTCATTTCATCCCACATCTGACAAAGTACAGTGCATAATGTGTTAAGTGTAAACATTTATACCATCAATATAAGCTAGGGTTGGGTCCTTAACAGAGTGCCCACGAAAACTCCTCTTGGTGCCCTCTTGGCTCCCTGCCCCATCAACTCTGGGATTTGGATGGCTGCAGTAAGCGTTCTACAAAGTGATATAGTGAGAAACCCCCTGCCTCAAAAATACAAAATGGGAAGGAACACAACAAATTAGATTACCAACAAGGTAACAAGCATTATAGAGGAAGTCACAGGAATGTACTGGTGGAAAGAAAGTAGACCAGAATACTAGACTTATGGTGGTCTGTAACAGACATTTTTTCCCCTCATGGATGCAGTTTCTTAGATTGGATTGCTCAATATTCACTTAAAATTAATTTGGAAACTACTTTTCCCCTTTATATTAGCTAATATCCCTTTTTATGCTATCAAGTATTACTCTTTGCTCTCCATTAAACCTACCTATGATTCTTAGGAACATATTTACTTACTTAGCTTTAATTAACTTTTTAAAATAAAAAATCTTTTTTGGGGGTGTCAGGGAACAACAGTATTTGTTTAAGGCTAAACATGTAGCTAAATCCTTTTGCATAACCTAAGTAGCTGCTCCAGGAATGTCCTTTATTGAGAAACTACAGTCTACAGCACTATAAACCAGTGTTGTCCAAACTTGGCCACTTTAAGGTGAGTGGACTTCAACTCCCAGAATTCCCCAGCCAGCCATGCTGGC